GCCGCTGCCCCTCTGTCCCTGTGTTTGTGTTAGTCTGGCCCCTGGGCCAGGCACGGTTCAGCCGTCTGTGAGCAGAGCAGGGACCTCGTGAGAGCCCTGGCAGTGCTGGGACAGCACACGGTGACAGAGCTGCTGAGGCACAGCCGCACAGGGCTGGCTGGCACTGAGGCCACCCCTCTGTGGCTCTCAGAGGCACCGTGAGCAGGACACACGTTCTGAATGAAACAGCTCAGGGAGAGGGATTTTATACAGGCACACAGTGACAGACTGCCAGGGTTAGATGGGACATTGGGAATTGTTCCCTGGGAGGCCCTGACACACATTTTCCAGAGCAGCTGTGGCTGCCCCTGGATCCCTGCAAGTGTCCAAGGCCAGGCTGGACAGGGCTTGGAGCAGCCTGGGATAGTGGAAGGTGTCCCTGCCCACGGCAGGAGTGGCATTGGATGGGCTCTGAGGTCTCTTCTGGGATAAATCTGCCTCTACACATCTCTGCCAGTTCACAGCCACAGCAGCCAGTTTGTTGCTCCTCACTTGCTTAAGCTGCCTAGAAAATACCAGTGACCCAAAACGCAGTTAAGCACAGAATATTTTTGGGACAGCTTGGGAGCACTGGCTGATTGATTTTATTGCTACTTATGCCAGCCTCAGGCTGTGCTTGGAGAAAAGAGGCTGAGCTGGGTCTCACGTGCTCTGGTCCCCAAAATACTCCAGCGCTGAGCTATAAAAATTGCATGGCCCCAGCTTCCTGAAGTGAGAGCATCATTGTCTTCCTGACAGCCCAGCCCTGAGCACACAGGGAAACATCACTCCTGCCCTGCAGATAAGATAAACTCCCAGGACAGCTCCAGGAATAGCACAGCAGGAACACCAACGTGTTGCTCTGCATGGGGTGGGAGCTGGAGGCAGTCACTGGAACATTGGGAGGAAAAAATTAGGATAAAGGAACCAGCCAGGTGTACTGAGCTTCCAACAGTGAAGGTGTTTCTACACTCAGAGACACAGGTGAATAAAGTTGACACCGCCTGTGTCAACTTTATTACCAGCAGCTGATTTTAAATCATCTTCAGGCATTTAGCAGTCTTGCTTTTCCTGGCAGTTTTCAAGAAGGTTCTGATGCAGCCTGTTACCACTGATCAGATATCAGAGTGTAGTTAATTACCCAATTAACATTAGCATAACTAGGTAATTAGAATCATAGGATCAGAGAACAGCCCAGGTTGGAAGGGACCTTGGCAGATCAGCTGGTGCAGGATGTGTGGGAAGGGAGCCCAGAGGAGGTTACCTGGCACCCCGTCCAGTCACCTCCTGAAACCGCCAGGCTGTTCCAGGGACAGATTGTTCTCACTGGAAAAAATTCCTTTGTTACACAGAGATGAAACCTCTCCCGGTGCAGCCTGTACCTGTTCCCCTTCACCTTCTGCCTGGGGCTCCCATGAAGAGCGAGCCTCCAGCCAGAGGTCAGGGTCCATCCCAAATCCCAAGCCACCAGCCAGCCCCTCCAGCTTTAATCAATACCAAACCAGGGGGTGTTTGTTTTTCACAGATCTCAAGGCTGGAGGAAAAGCAGTGGCCAGCGATGGGAAAAATAAACGGGACAAGGAACAATTTCAAACCAGCCCTCGTTGCACTTTATACTGAGGAATATTTCAAAGAAACAGGAATTACGAAGGCTGGAAGTGCTCTAAGATAAAACATCCGAGCACATGGAACTTCAGCCTGATTATCTGCCTGTACAGAGAGAACCAGACAAGGGATTTGATGCTCCTCACCTCAAACAGCTCAAGACACGGATTTCACACAGAGTCATGGGGCAAAGTTACAGTTTATTAGCCAAGGCTTATCTCCCTGTTAATCCCCTCCGGCCATGGGAACAAGCACAGCAGGTCCCGGGGAGCTCCGGAGCCACGTGGGCACTGCTCGTGGGCACCGGGCACTGCTCCTGCTCAGCGGTCGCACTCGTAGTCAGCCGGGTTCTTCCTCTTGAGCCGCTCGAACTCCTGCGTCCCCCAGGAATAAATCAGGTAACCGAGGGCCAGGGCTGCCAGGGACAGAGGACAGGCACAGTCAGGGGACACCACAATGAGGGGACACTGCTAGAAAGGGACACTCTCCATAAAGGGACAGTGGAACGACGGAACGCTGCTCTAAGGGAATAATGTAGTGAGGGGACACTGCAGTAAGGGGAAATTCCCAATAAAGTGGCATACGATGCAGTGACGGGACACCTAGAAAGGACACTGTAGTGAGGGGACATTGGAATAAGGGGATTTCACCACACGAGGACACTGGGAGAAGGGGATTTAACCACACGGGGACACTGGGAAAATGGAATATTCACAATATGGGGACACCGCAGTGAGGGGACACCGCGCACAGCACCTACCTCCTGCGACACAACAACATCCCACAACCCCCACCCTGCCCCAGTGCTTCCCCCTCCCCAAATTTACACCACGAAGGAGGTACAAAAAACAGGGAATCCCCCCATCCCCCCCCTGTACTCACGGGGCACCACCTTCAACACCTGGGAGGCGAAGCGGCGGGCCACGTTGGGGACGCCGTGGGACAGGGCGTTGGGGAAGGCTTGCTGCTCGAAGGGCGACAGGCTGTAGGAGATGACATGGCGCACCCGCGCCAGGTTCCCGAAGTGCTTCCCCATGGCCGCGGTGTCCCCTCGGTCACAGCGCAATGGCCGCCGCCCGCCCCGGAACTGCCTCGGCGAGGCCTTCCGGGGCACCGCGAGCGGCACTTTCCGTTTGTAACAAACGGTAGGGGCGGTGAAATACGTGTGTGATAAATCACAGTTACACTAAAGTGTGTTTTTAACGGGCGGTTTGTAATAAATGATGTGCTCAATAAACGGGCCCTGCTCTGAGGGGAAGGGGGGGGGGTCACGCGAGGCACCTGCGCCGAGGGGCGGGGGGGGGGCGGTGCCTCAGAGCGGAAAACCGCCAAAAATAAATAATGGAGAAATAAACCAACGTTTGTGTGGCGATTGTGGAGTCCGATGGAAAATAAATAATGGTCCGAAGAAAAACCCACTATTGTGTGGCGATTGTGGAGCTCCGATGGAAAATAAATAATGGTCTAGGAAAAATCTACTTTTGTGTGGCGATGGGGGAGCTCCAAATGAAAATAAATAACGGTCTGAGGAAAAACCCACTTTTCTGTGGCGATTGTGGAGTTCCAATGAACAGCGGAAGTGTCTGAAGCAGAAAATCATGGAATTCTGGAAGAGTTTGCTCTGGAAAAGGCTTTTAAAGGTTAAATATCCTGCCCCACAATGAGCATCATAAACAATATTGGAATTATTATTAGAATGTATGAGACATCTATCACATAACTGAAATTACTATTAGACTATATTAGATATCTTCACTATTACTGGAATTATTAATAGAGTCTATAATTATTAGACTATATTAGACCCATTCCATATTATTCGAATTATATAGTATATTCAACATCAAACTTATTTAAATTACTATTAGAATATATTAGAGATCTTCAAAGTTATTGCAATTATAATTAGAATATATTAGAATTATTATATCAGCTTCCACATTAACAGATAATTTTTAGGATTACTATAATTAATCATCTTCCACATAATTGAAATTATTAGAAGATACTAGAATTGTTAGGCATATTTAACATTATTGGATTTATTATTAGACTAGATGAGAATGGTTAGAATATTAGACATTTTCACCATGATTTGAATGATAGTAGAATTATTAGACTGCATTAGACATTTTCAACTTTATTTGGATCAATATGCTCTATTAGACATATTTGCCATTATTTAAACTAATATGACACTATATTAGATTTATTAGAATATGTTAAACATCATCAACATTGTTGGAATTATTATTAGAATATATTAGATATTGGTATTATTACAATATATTACACATTTAACATATTATTATTAGAATTGTTATACTATATTAAAGATATCCATTAATGGAGTATTAGAATATATTAGGATTATTGGGCTACATTAGACTTTTCACCATAATTAGAAGGAGTTGTCTCAGGAAACAATTCCGTTTATTTTCTTTTCTGGCAGGTGAGCAAAGCCAAATTCCCAGAGTTTGAAGGGAAGAACAGAAGTGATACAATCCAAACTGACCCAGCTGCCCACAGTGCTGGCACCAGGATGATTTTATGTGATACCAGGGTTCTGTTTTGAGCTTTTGGTGTCAATCACTTTGATTTTAGCAGTCAGAGACCGAAACATGGAGCGGGATGCTCACTTTTAGGGCAGATTTGTGCTCCAGGAGCTCTCCAGACACTGCTCCATCTGTGGGTTCAGTGACCAGGTGAACCAGAGTGACACCACTCAGCAGTCCCTGCCCTGCCAGGCTGAATTCCCAGCCTCTGGAAGAGCTCAGGATCTCAGGTAGGGGCTGGTTGGGTGCCTGAGTGCAGAAAGTTACACCATTTGTTTATTAATCCATTAGCAAGTCAATGTTAAAGAATGTTCTGAACAAGTTTTACAAGATGGTGCTGCTCCACAGCCTTTAATTAGCAAACAAACAAGAAAAATGCCCACTAAAGCTGAGACGTTTTGTGTATGAGCCCCAAGTCCAGGAGGAGAAAATAAATCATAATAAATCAATTACAGTAAAAATTTGGTGTGAAAGCATCTAGAGTTGAGGCACTTGTTACCGACAGTTTCATTGTGAGAGGAAACAAAGCTGCAGCCCCACATTTCAGAATATTAAACCCATTGAACAGCATTTACATCAACACATTTAAGGATTTTAGAAGCCATTATGGGGGATTAGGCTTTTTAAACAATTCTTCCTATTTAAGAAGCTAGTGGCAATGTGCCTCCAGCAGACAATGTTCTGCTCTCACCCCATGGACAGCTGCTCCTTATTCTTGAATAAAGGAAGCCTCACCTGATGCCAGTTGTTATCAAAATAGTGCCTAAAGTGTCCACAAATTACCCACAACTGCCCTTAAATTCTCACCCTTCTTTTAGCTGAGAAAGCCCAGAGTGCAACAGAAGAAAAGCAAAAAAACAACCTTTTAATCTCTATAGAACTGTGAGGAAGGGTTTTGTCACCCTGCTTGGAAGAGCTGGAATGTGGTAGGGGAAGAGAATGAAAAACTGAAGAAATAATTCTGACATTAAAGACTTTCTCCCCTTGCTAGTCATTGCTGGAGATGCCACACACAAGGTTTCTGTAGAGGCAGAGTAGCAGGCACTGCATGTCAGGGTATGTGTGACAGCCATTTATTTCTCTCTCTTTTTTTTAAATCTGTAATAAAGCAGCTTAAAAATAGACATTTAATAGTTGAAACCTTTCCCCCATTTTAAATGCAAAATTCTCCCGATAAAAAGACACTATTTACATTTGATTGCACATTCTAGAGAGGCTGAGTGAGTACAAAAACCAGTGCTCTGATGTGAACCCCCTTGTGCTAACTCGGTGCTAAATCCCAGCTCCTGGAGTTCCAGTGCTCGTAGCTACAGCACCTTGAGAACGCAAAACTAAAAGGTGTATTTGGAGCGCACACCGTGCCCAAGCAGAGCCGCTAGCGGCAGGTGCACTTGGTGGCGATCATGTCCTCGTACTCCTTGTAGGCGATGGAGCCGTCGGGCTCGATGGTGAGCACGCTGAGCGGGCTGTAGGCGGCGGGCACGCACGAGGGCCGCGGCACGGCGGGGTCCAGGCGCTCGTAGATGAGGGTCTGCACCATGGTGTGCACCGGGGAGCCGTAGCGCTGGCCCAGGGCGCGGGGGCAGTCCCCGCGGCAGAACTGCGGGCTGTAGCGGTGCGGGGCGATGATCCAGCGGTCCCAGCGCAGCTGGCTGAAGCTCAGGCGGAAGTTGTGCAGCTCGCACTCGTGCGGAGGGAACGCGAACTGCTTCAGGTTGTGGGGCGAGGAGGCTGGCGCCGCTTTGGGATTCTCGTTCCTTCGCTGCCGAGAGGCCCTTTTACCCTGGGCATTGCCTTGGTCACCCCTTGGAGCATCCACCTGCGGGCTGCTGCTTTTCCTCCCGTGCCCCAGTGAGCTCCCCCGGTGATGAGCTTGCTCGCTGGTGTCGTTCAGATAGAGCAGGAGGGAAGGGGGAACGAGTGTCACATTCATAGCCTTTCCCAGCTTCGTGCTCCCTTGTGGGTCACCCGTCAGACAAGTGAAGTTCAGAGCCATGTGCACGTTCCTCCTGCTCATAGCAATCAGAGGCCGCAGGAAAGAAGTCACATCCATCTCCACCCATTTGCGTTTCCTAACGTCAGAGTGCAGGCTAAAAGCTAAAGAGTGGGAAATGCTGGGACAAACTTGGCTGGAAAAATCATGTTCCTTGAGGGATAAATGGCATATGCAGGTAATGGAAGAGGAAATGGGAACAGATGTGTCAAAGGAATAAAGCAAGACAGACTTGAGTAAGTGCTCCAGAGCAGTAACACGATCCAAGCTGAAGAGTAAATCCACCGAGTGAGTATCTCCTGGGAAGGGAAACAGATTCCTGTAGTGTTAGCGTGTCTTATTTTTCCACCTAGACATAAATACTGTTGTAGTGGATAAGTAAAAATTATTCAGCAGCATAAGAAAACAATTTCAATGCCCTTCCTTACATTTACTATATGAAATTTCTACTTTGGTCAGGGACAAGCAAGTTAAAAATTAAGAAATTAAAAAAAAAAAACAAAGAAAGCCCCTGATTTTACCAGTTGTTATGATTCATTTCTTTAAAAGAACCAACACAGGGGGAAGTCAGCTGTTGTCTCTTTAGTGCTGGTGTGGGGTAACAGGAACTAAACACTCCAGATGATACAAACCATGAACTCCACCTCAAAGGGCTGTTCCTGTGCAGCAGCACAATGCTTGTGTTTATCTGTCTTTCTATGAAAAACCTGAGCCAGGAGAACTCCGGTCACCTCAGCAGGATTAACAGCCAACGATTTCTAGGTGCTGTTGTTGTGAACAGCCCACTCTTAAGAAAGCCATTGAAGGACCATGTTACAGTGTGCCCAGCCATCCCAGTTCTGAGCCTGATTTATGAGTAATTCCACTCTTCCCTTCAGGGTTTGGTCATGATTCTTCTCTAGCAAATGCACTGGGCAAGGAGAGGAGTCTCTGGCAGTGGGTTCAGGCAGTTTGGTACAAGTCTCATACCTGTGCTGTAGTTCTTTGAAAAAAGCAAAGCCAAGGTGGGCTGTAGAAGGAAATGTACTGCCCCTTATGCCTCAACAGTTTTTCCACTTTTCTTACTTCACTGAGATCTGCTTGTGGCTTTTTCTGACTCATGAGGAGATGAGTCAGCCTGAGACATCAGCATGTCTTGTACATACCACTTGTGTGGTGTTCCCAGCCTGTAAAGTCTGTACCCAACGCCACTCAAGGAGAAGTAGGCTATGAAACACTCCCCCAGTTTAGGAGAAGAGCCTCCAGGACTAAAATAGCAGCAGCGCTGAAGGAAGGAGGTATTTTAATCTGGTGCTGCCGGCACAGGACACACAGAAACCCCGCGTGCCCTCCCCGGCAGTGCCCACCTACCTCTGGCC